CAGACAGACGTGGGGCCCTGACCAGAGGGTCTGCCCAGGTCTGGAAATCACCAGGTCGTGTCCAGTCCAGCAGGAGCCAGAGACCTGACTTGGGGGTGAGCCCAGAGACCCCAGGATTTAATCACAGCAGCGCCTGTCAGGGCCAGGGCAGAGGGGAAGCTGAGCCCTCTCTCCACCACTGCTGCAGGCCCCGCCCGCCGGCAAATGGTGTTCCCAGAGAACACCTGCCTCTTCAACCCTTGGACACTTCAGAGGTTACCTTAGAGCGTAGGCAGGAGTGATGCCGTGTGGGGGAACATTCTGCAGGTGTTTTACTCTCGGGTTGGGGGCAGGATGGAGACCAAAGGAAGAACCTTGCCTCACCTGCCAAGGAACTTTCCAGGCCGACACTTCAGGCCTCAACACCGCAGGGCGGAGCTTCTTGGCCCCACAGCCCAGCACCTGCGGGTGGAGTAGATCCAAGACAGTGCTCTCTAGGACAGGCCTGGCAGGGACCACCCCTGCCATCCTCAGGAAGCCAGCTCCCCTCCCACCCAAAGCGCCCAGGCCACTCCCTGGTGGTAGTTTCCAGATAAGCCACGTCTATCTGCATATCTGTGAGCTTGGTCTCAAGGTGACCCTACCAAATGTTCTCCAAACCTCCACTGAGGGAAAGATGGAGCATGCATGTCTCCTCAGCTCTCCCGGCCAGACAGACGCGGCCCCTCTGCGTAGTGATGTTTCTGTGTGAATCCACCAGCCTGCGCTCAAGGAGGCTCAGAGAAGTCCTTTTTTCTTACCATTAAATTGTTTTTATCAAGGTGATGCTGGTTTACACCACTGTACGTGACTCAGGGGTGCATCTAGGCACCTCTGCAGTGTTTGTCACACACGCACGGCCAGAGGCCCCTGGGCCTCCACACCCCCCCACTGGGCCCCTCCCCTGCCCACCCACCCTGGCCTTGGGTAACCTCGGTTCTGCAATGCGATCTCTAGGCTTGGTTCTGGTTTAGTTCTGTGAGTTCCTTCGTTTCTTTACATCCCGAACACCAGGGACACCATCAGCCGTTGTCTTTCTTAACATCACCCCGATCCGCCATGGGGTCCATCCTAGCAGCAAGATTTCATTTCTTTATAGCTGACGAGTGTTTCCTTGTGTATATAGTCCACGTGTGTTTTTTTTTTATTATTATTATCTGTGACTTTATTTCTTGGACAAGGATGTTTTATTAGTTAGCCTCTCCCCTGGAGCCCCAATCTCTAGCTCTCACACAGAACATAGTAACGCTTGCCTCTGCTACGTGAGATAGGAATTCAGCAGATTTTCACATCATTTTCAAGTGAGTTCCAGTGAACTTAATTCCTTCTTTCCTCACGATCCCCTAGATGAATTTTATCAAATATTAGCATAGGAATTAGGAAGGATTGTGGTTCTGTGTGTATGCAGGAATTGAACCACATCCTACTCACCTGTTCTCGGTTGTCCCCGCGGCTCGGCTAATGCAAACAGTGCTGCAATGAACACAGGATGCAGGAAGGCCTTGCCTTAGTGTTCTGCGTTCTTGGAGTAGACACTAGGAGTGGGATAGGGTAGATCTAGTTTTAATGTTTTGAGAAACATCCATCCTGTTTCCCTGGGGGCTGGGCTAGTCTGCATTCCCAGCAACCGTGCAGGAGGCTTCTGTCTCGGGAAGAAAGAGCCTCACAGGCCAGGAGAAACACCACCTGCTGTGCCATGTATCACCTGGGATACTGGTGGAAGCTCATACCTCCAGGATCCATTTCTGCTTTACTCAGTCCAAAATCTGGGCCTGGGGTCCAGGAACCCATATATTTAACAAGCTCTGAAAACTGAAAATGATTGTGCTGCGTCTTTGTTTTCATAAAATCCCTTCAGAAACGTCCCTTCGCCAGCCTTAGTACTAACATGTTTTCTTTTGCGCAATCGGTCAATTCTTATGCCTGAAAACAGTAGAAAAAGTCACTGATGCATTTCCTCTTTCATCTTGGCTATTGGGACGCTTACGAGTCACTGCACACCATCCATAGCTAGAATCTTTGTAACAGGGATTTTTAAACTTTATATCCCCCATTAATTTGCTTAACTCCTTATCTCCATTCTGATCTAACAGAAAACATTTAACAATTAAGTATTTTAACTGTGGAGCTTTGATAAATGCCCTTTATCAACTTTATCTCTTCTATGCCTGATTTGCTGAATAATTTTTTTCATAAAGGGGTGTGGAATTTAGTCAAATGCTATTTGATATCAAAGGTCTATTGGGATAATCTCGTGGTCTGGGGCCTTTATTCTCTTAATAATGTGCATTGCACTGATTTTATTTTTTTATCTTAAGTCAACCTTGCATTCTTGGAATAAATTGTATTCGGTCATACCATAAATTTTGTCATACTACATAATCCCTTTTATATGTTGACTGATTAAGTTTGCTGGTATTTTGTTGATAACTTTTTCACCTACACTGGTAAGAGCTGTTGGTTTATAGTTTTCTTCTGATGTTTTTATCTGGTTTCATGATCCCTTCGTCTTTGATATTTGTGATGCCTCTTCTCGAAATAACATTTTTTTAAAGATTTTATTTATTTATTTATTTATTTATTTATTTATTTATTTATTTATTTATTTATTTATTTATACAAGAGCTGGGGTGTAGGCCAGAGGTGCAGGGTGTAAGAGGATATTCACCAGAGACAGAGTCGGGAGAACAGGTGAATCTACTGAAATCCACTGCTAATGGGGAGCAGCTGGGAGACAGGAGCCGTCTGCTGTGCCCTGTGGGTCAGCTCCCGGGCCAGGAATTGAACTCTGTGCTTCAGTGGCTGCCGATAGCTTCATAGTGCTGAGATATAATCCCTTGGGTAGGAATTCACTTCTAAGCAGTCCATTCTGTCTTCACTTCCAAGCTGTCCATTCTGTGTCTTACTATTGTTGCACTTAATGCTATTTCTAAGTAGACTCCTCATTACCTTCATTTCTCAAGAAATTTAAGCTAATCTTGCCGTGTATCCTGCAGAAGAACTTCAAAATCATTTTATCAAAATTCTGATGAGGTTTTTTAAAATGGAATTTCAATAAAACAATCTATTAACTGTGTGAGGACTGCCATGTTTTTAATTTTCTATTTTCCAAAAAAAAAAAAAAACCCACATTATTCTCTAAAGAGAAAAATCTCCTTCCATTTCTCAAGCTTTTCCTTTATGTGGGTTATGTGGATCGATCAATCCAGTTAGCCTGTGTTTTCTGGGTTTGTTACTGCTATGATTGGAATCTCTCTACTTGCTTGTTATTCTTAACAGTGGATCTATTGTATTCTGGCCCTGGGCTGAATTCTCTGTAATTCCAAGAGCTTCAATTGGCTATTTGGGGCTATGTGTCATACAAAACATCACCAGCAAATTATGATTTTTGGTAACACTGTCCCAGTAACTCATTGTTTGTCTTGGTGTGTTGGCCACGTCTCCACACACGTTAATGGTGCGAGCAGGATTTGGCTCTGGTTTACAGCAGCACCACACTAATGACATGCACAGGACTCAGTGTTGTGATGAATTTCCCTTCCAGTCTCACTTTAAAGGTCTTTACTCAAGACTGGTATTTAATTTTGTCACAATCCCACCGATGTGCTACATTGTACTGACTACCTAATTGCCTCTGTTTTATTTAAATCACGTTGAGAACAATTTAATTAGGGAATTAAACATCTTGCTTAATACTTCACTTTTATTCTATATCTGGTGTATTGGGAAATCTTAATCTTTAAAACAGCTTGATTGTTCCTCGTCGTCGTGACCAGTTTTCCTCTGTCCAATGGGTCTTGGTCAGATCCCATAACTTCCCTGCCTCTTCAGTCTTCAGAAGTGATTCATTTCTGTATTTAAGTTTCTTTCCTTAAAAAAAAATCTGCCCTATTCATTTTTCTCTCAAAAGGTTTACCTACTTTTTGAATAGATTAATGTTTTCATATACTTTTTAAATATTAAAGATTTTTTTTTAAATAATAAATTTTATTTTTATAGTCCCCATACAATTGCAATGCCCCCATTCTGACCGCAATCCCTCCCCTCCTGCCCCCCACCCCCCCAAAAGTGTCTCTGGTTCATAGTTTTTTGTTGATTTTGATTTTCACTTTCTTATAGTTATTCATTTTCCTGGTCCCTTATTTAAGTTTTCTAGATTCCTGCTATGAGTGAGACCATCCGGTATTTTTCTTTTTCTTTCTGGCTTATTTCGCTGAGCATGATCCCTTCCAGCGCCATCCATGTTGCTGCAAATTGCATGTGTTTATCTTTTTTGAATGCTGAGTAATATTCCATGGTGTATATGGACCACATCTTCTTGATCCAGTCATCTATTTTTGGGCATTTGGGCTGTTTCCAAAGCTTAGCTATTGTAAACAGTGCTGCTATAAACATAGGGGTGCAGGTGCTCTTTGGAATTGATGTTTCTGTGTCCTTTGGGTAAATACCTAGGAGTGGAATTGCTGGATCCTGTGGAAGCTCTATGTTTAGTAGGTCCAGAAATCTCCACACAGCTCTCCATAGTGGTTGGACCAGTTTGCACTCCCACCAGCAGTGCAGGAGAGTTCCTTTTTCTCCGCATCCTTGCCAACATTTGTTGTTGCTAGTTTTTTTCGTATGTGCCATTCTCACTGGTGTAAGATGGTATCTCATGGTAGTTTTGATTTGCATTTCCTGCAAAGAGCTGATGAGACTCAACAAAAACAAAGAAAATAACCCAGTCAAAAAATGGGCAGAAGAGCTAAAAAGAAACTTCTCTGAAGAGGAAATGCAAATGGCCAACAGGCACATGAAAAAATGTTCAACATCACTTGTCATCAGGGAAATATTAAAGATTTTTAAAGTATACGCCTGCTCAAGATTATCCTATAATAACTAATTATAGGTTTCAAGATGGTTGCTTAAGCGGTTTAGTTTATCCCATCTCCATTTTTTTTTTTTTGGTTAAATCCGGATGTGACGTATTAAAGGACCCGCCGGAAATAGAAGTGAAAGCATCCTGAAATGGCGAACCGCACGGTGAAGGATGCGCATAGCATCCACGACACCAACCCTCAGTATCTGGTGGAGAAGATCATTCGAACCCGAATTTATGAGTCCAAATACTGCAAAGAAGAGTGCTTTGGGCTTACAGCTGAACTTGTAGTAGATAAAGCCATGGAGTTCAGGTTTGTGGGTGGCGTCTATGGTGGCAACATAAAGCCAACTCCCTTTCTATGTTTGACCTTGAAGATGCTTCAGATTCAACCAGAGAAGGACATCATTGTAGAGTTTATCAAAAATGAAGACTTCGAGTATGTCCGCATGTTGGGAGCACTTTACCTGAGGCTGACAGGCGCTGCAATGGATTGCTACAAGTACTTGGAGCCTCTGTATAACGACTACAGAAAAATCAAGAGCCAGAACCGTAATGGAGAATTTGAACTGAAGCGTGTAGACGAGTTTATTGATGAACTGCTGCACAGTGAGAGAGTCTGTGATATCATTCTCCCACGGCTGCAGACACGCTATGTGCTAGAGGAAGCCGAGCAACTGGAGCCACGGGTTAGTGCTCTAGAAGAGGACATGGATGGCGTGGAGTCCGGTGAAGAAGAGGAGGAGGAAAAGCTGGAGCGAGTACCATCACCTGATCACCGCCGCCGAAGCTACCGAGACTTAGACAAACCCCGGCGCTCTCCCACACTGCGCTATAGGAGGAGTAGGAGCCGGTCTCCAAGAAGGCAGAGTCGGTCTCCCAAGAGGAGGAGCCCCTCCCCTCGCCGAGAAAGGCATCGGAGCAAAAGTCCAAGACGACATCGACATCGCAGTAGGTCCCGTGATAGACGGCACAGATCCGGTTCCAAATCACCAGGTCATCATCGTAGTCACAGACATAGGAGCCACTCAAAGTCTCCTGAAAGATCTAAGAAAAGCCACAAGAAGAGCCGGAGAGGGAATGAATAATGGACTCCGGTTTTAGTCCAAATGGCTTATGGATGAAGGCATCTGTGTGGAAGGATTAAGAACTTCCTAGGCAGCTATGAGAATTTTTTTAGCCAATATTCTCTTTTTTAAATGAAAGAGGTGCTGAGACTTGTATCTCTTCTTGAATCATGACCTATGTTTGAGGAATAGTGTTACCCAATTGTTGCTTCTGACCCTTTAGTACAACAACTCTTGGTTTATTCAAACTTGTAAGGGAAGAAAGGATTTGGGATGTGGAAGGTATGAGTGACCAGCAAAGGTTTTGGCCACCTGATCACTTTTTTTTTTTTTAAATTAAATTTGACATATCCATCTTGCATTTTTCTATACTTTAGGTTTTGGGTTGCCCCATGTTATGAAGATGCTGAGATTTATGCTGCTGCTACTGCATTCAGAGCTCAAATCAGTAAAACACATTGGCTTCTACTCTTCCCCCACCCCAACATCAGCGAAGTGATAATAAACTTGAAAAATAACTGACAGTAAAAAAAAAAAATAATAAATACTAATAGCAGCAACCATAATGTACCTATATATGAGTTTAGATGTTGATACTCATTTCTTGTAACTCTTTCCAGAACTTCTTAGATATATCCATATACCATTTTACCTTGTGAAGACAGAATACATTCTCTCCTGCTCTTGTTTTTGTTTTCTTAAACTATCTTAGGACCCCTTCTTGATCAGTATATACAGCTGCCTCTCACTTGCTTCTACCACTGCATCATCCTCCACTGATGGAAATGTTTAGAATTTTCTAATTAGTGTGACGGTTTCCTGATTGAGCTACAGTCTGGTCTCTCCAATGGCTGGTCCACCCACCTCACAGGCAGGCTGACCTGTGGGCCTGCAGGTGTGCTTGCTGGGTTAACGTGAAGTAGCTTTTTATTCTGGCAGACATGGCCAAGCTGCCCCGTGGCGTAATATCCCACAGCCGTGGGGGGCGGGGGGCTGCCTGCTGTCCCTCGGTCTCACCAATTGTCTTATAAACTATTTTCTACCAATGTAATAAGTGAAAAAAAAGGGTCTTGGTAAGGATTGGATTTTCTTTCCTGTTATGAGACATGAAGTTAAAAATCTTTTGTGGTTTTTAAGAGTGATTCGTGTTTCCTTTTCTGTGAGCTGTATGTTTATACCCTTTGCCAATTTCAGCCACACTGAAGGTTTCTAGGTTCTATCGCATACTAGTCAGGCTAGCACAGTCTAGACTGGGGGGTGGGAGATGACTTGCTGGAGACACCCCCTCACTCTCTTCTCCACCCCAGGGGTGGAGGAGGGAGCAAGGACTGGGGGTACCCTGGCTGGCTGCAGGGCCATGTCGGGAGGCATCCCTCTGGCTCAGCCTGGCTCTGGCCCCCACGGGAAAGGTATTCAAGCTGTCTTGTTCGCCCCTTCCCTCCCCGATCCCACTGGACACCATCCCTCTGCGTGCTCCTGGGTCATTCTACAGCCTGGGCACCCTGTCCTTTGCCCTTTACCTGGGCTGCCCCCACCCTACTATTTGCTAACCTTGGTGTTCCAGGGGACCTCAGGGGACCCTGGGGTTTTCTTCTGCAAGGGCTGGAGAAGAAAGATCAAGGAGGTGCCTCGTCTCTTGGGACATACCAGGCCCTCGTCCCTCAGCGTCACGTATGAGGGCCCCTAGCAGGCACCGCCCCTCAGAACCTCCAGACCTTGGATGCACAGGTGGACAGGGTTTTCTCGGAACCTGCTGTCAGGCAATTTTGGGCAGGCTGATGGGCTCATGATTCCAGAACTCCTGGTGGGCTTTTCTTACTGCGCTTTTCCAAGGCTTCCTGGGAACTGCTTTCCTCTTTGCGTGGAATACGGCACCCCTAAGACCTTCTGTCAAGGAGGGGTGATGAGAGGGACGCTCGTGCTCCAGTAATCCTTGGGGTGGCTGGCAGACACGCACTGCAGCCGCAAGTGCAATGGGGCTAAGGGCTGCTGGACTTCGGCCACGATCCCAGAACAGGAGACTCCCTCGTGCCTCCCTTGATGCTTCCATCACGTGGGTCCCCTTTATATAGTTCCTGTCTCAGCTGACCTTTGATTTATAAACTGCCTCATTTCTTAAGAACCTTAAAGCTCATGTCGGCCACCATTGATGCATCTTCACAATTAGCACTTTGGCAAAGAACCTGCAGGTCCTGCCATAAACTTGACTTTTTCTCTTTTTCCTATTTCCTATTGGTTTTATGATCCGTTGTTTAGGATCAGTTTTGTCCCAAAACTCTAATTTGGGTATAAGTTTACTTGGTCCTTGAACGATACTCCGCCACTTTCCCAAGCCCTAAGCAGGTGTTCCAGAGAACGGTCACCTGGCTAACCCATGCGACAGCAAAACCCCGACAAAGCCCTACACAATCGCTGTGCAAAGCAGCGCCCCTCTCACACTGCCACCTCCCCTGGTTTAACAAATGAGCCAACTGATGTGTGACTCATAGCTTTCTGCTCTCCTTAGTCTCGCTTATGTCCGCTGGCACTTTGTCAGCGCCAACCGGCTTGAAACGAAAGAGACCAATGCCATTCTCGCTGGAGGTGGTGGCAGAGTCCTCCCAACGCTGTAAAAATATCCACCACATCACTGAGATGAGGAAATCTTTCTTGGTAGTGGCCTTGGGGAAGGCCCAGCCTTGTGGGTGTGTTAATAGTCTATGTTGAAACACACAAAGAACTGGGCAGACACACAGTAGGTGATTTAAGCCCCGGAAGGTGTCCACACCATTAGTCTTGGACAAAACAAACACCAGCTTCATAGATCAGAGGGCCCCCAGTTCTGTAAAGAAAGTGCTAGAGGAGTTTGAAGCTTCAGTTTCTCCGTTTGCATCTGCCGGGACCATGAACGAGGCCGGCTGAAAAGGCCGCAGAGTGTACCCGTGGCCAGGAGGCCATGACGCGAGTTTTCATCTGAGCTTCCAGTGCGGCAGAGCGCGCTCCCTTGCAGGCCTGCATTTTGGGGGCATTGGGAGCTGGGGTTAACCTGAGCCGCCATCTCACCCAAGAATTCATTCTGGCCTCACCATAAAAGGCAAATCCCCCAACTCGCCACATGAGCCGGAAAGAGAGAGGAAAAGACCACTGGGCCAGGCGCCCGGCACTGGGGAGCTGCCATTCCTGGCTGTCTCCGCTGCCAGCCCTGTCCCCGCCCGTGGGCTGTGGCTGAGGCGCTGGCGCGGCCTGGGCACCCTCCACTTCCCCGCGTCCACTCTGCCTCCTTCCCTTCCCTCGCTCTGCTGGCGCCGAGCACCTGCACGGCCCCGAAGTGGGAGGACCACGCAGAACTGACTACTTCACCCCCTGCTCCGGGCCCTCTGCCTCCTGGAGGGATTCAGCTCTACATTCAGCTTTAAAAACGCCATCAGCCTCAACTTGTCGGCAGATCTAAAGGTCTATTTCAGAGGTTTTGGAAGCTCGTTTCCGAGGCTTCCCTGCCTCCTGGGCCCGCCAGGGCCTGCAGGCAGACCACGGCCCCCTCCCGCTGGCCCCCTCAGCTTCTGGCCCCCTGCAGCCCCCTCCGCCCCCCGCACCCGCCACTGAGGGTCCTCGCCGCCAGGACAAGTGAGTCTGTTCTTCTGCCTCTCACGGGCTTTCTCCTCGGGCGGCAGGCGGTTAAAGATAGACAGAGGGAGCCGCGCCGCTCGCTGGCATGGGAGTCCCTTCCTGTGAGAAAGCGCACCCTCTCTGCAGCGCTGGCTGCTTCCCGGCTTGCCAGAGCCCCCCAGCTTCTGCGGCGGCGTCAGGGAAGGGTGCTGCTCACACTTGATCTACCTCCGTCTAGCCGTCTTGCACGCGGATTTCGTCGCCGCGTCCACCCACTTCCTGCCTTTTGGGGACGGTCCAGGCTGCGAGGATGTGGAGCGGAGGCTGCTCTCCAGGGATGGAGGGCGCCGCATGGAGGAGGGCAGGGCCCCGGGGGGCCAGCCCCGGGCCCCGGAGAACCCCCTCACCTCGCCCTGTCTTGACACCTTCAGTGTCTCTGGCCGCTGAAGAGATGCTGCCTGGGTGAAAACCCGCTCAGGCTGAGGCAGGCCCGTGAGGCCGCGCCTGGTTAGTGGGCAACCTCCGGGTCACCGCTGGTTGCTGGGACCTGCACAGTGGGCTGTGCTCGGACCCAGCTCCCCCAAGTGTCCCATCCCTCTTGGAGCTCAGGCCCAAAGTCTCCCCCGAATTCTGCCTCCTCTCCCAGTGCGTCTGTTCAACAGCTTCACGGAGACCCATGTCCATCTTGTCTGTGTGCAGCCAAAACCAAGTCAACAGGCCTCCCTGGTGGCGCAGCGGTTGAGCGCTGGATTGCAAAGCTGCCCGCAGCCTCTGCAGCGCCAGTTCGATCCCCGGCTGCTCCCTGGCCACCGGAGGAGGGTCCCACATGGCGCGCAGACCTCTCCTGCCGCCCGCTGCTCCCCTCAGCAGTGTACTTCGGTCCTTCTGCCTGCTCTGCTCCCCGCTCTGGCTCTGGTGAATTCTCTCACCCTCCCGCGCTTCTGACTGTACCCAGTGCTTGTATAAATAAATAAATAAACAAACAAATAAATAAATAAATAAATAAATCTTTTTAAAAAAAAGGCAAGTCAACAAGCCCAGCGAGGAAGCTTTGCCTTCTGCTCCATCTCTGGCTCCCTGAGGCTTCAGTTCTTCCCTCCCTCCACACCCCTTCTCCCCCACCCCTCCCCCATTACCCACACCCCTCCCCCATTACCCCACACCCCTCCCCCATTATCCCACACCCCTCCCCCTCAGTTATTCTATTTTTTTTAAAGATTTATTTATTTATGCATACAAAAGCCGGGGTACAAGCCAGAGATGTGGGGGTGAGAGGATTCACCAGAGACAGAGCGGGGAACAGAACAGGCAGACTGACTGAAACACACTGCTGAGGGGAGCAGCGGGCGAGATAGGAGAGGCTGCTGTGCCATGTGGGTAGCTCCCTGGCCGGCCGGGGAGCGAACTCATGCTGCAGAGACTGTGGATGCCTTCATAGTGCGGTGCTTAACCCCCTGCATCACCAGGGAGGCCCCCTCAGTTATTCTATAAAGCGATCTGCTCTATTCCACCATGGTCAGGGTTCTGTGAGGACCCCCTTCCCGCATGGCCGCCAGGACACCCCTCACCCCTGAAGCCAACACTGCCCCCATGTGGCCACCACGTCGACTGGGCCCCCCAGCCAGGCATAGGGCCACGGGGTGCCCACCACCTCTGCTGTCCACTTTCACTCTTCCCAGGGTCCTTCTCCCCTCTCTTTGGACATTCCATTCCCTTCTCCTCCTTTGTTCACCCCAGAACCCCAAGATGGCCCACACCACACAGGTCACCTGACAGCAGAGTGTCTTGGGGGCCGCTTCCCGAGCTCTGACCCCCTCTGGCTTCCCACTGAGGGGCCCGCCTTCCCATGGAGACCGCCTGCTTCCGCGAAACACATTCAGCCCTCCTGGTCAGGGTCACAGCTAAGGAGCCTCGTTCCCTCCCCTCCCCCAAGACAAAGGTGGGTCTTCAGTATAGACCCTGCTGGGAATCCCCCAAGCATTCTGCTGGAGCTGCCTCCCTGCCCCGAGACGTACTCTGTGCCAGGCTTGCTCCAGGCCCTGATCTCCAGGGCCCTCTGGGGTGGTCTGAGCTGCCAGGGAGTGACATTCCCCCACCCAGGGCTCCCGGGGCTCCTGAGATCTGGTTCTCACTGCGGGCCTTTCCTGCACTGCAGAGCACCCTCCCTTGCCCTCCTGGGTCATAACTTGCCCTGCCTGGCACATGCT